GGCACTGCGTGCTGCGCATGCGCCAGGCGAGCTGGCTACCGCCTTGGTGCACGGCGCCGGCGTGAGTGGCAGGTCCCTTCGATAGCTCAGCTGGTAGAGCGGAGGACTGTAGAGGCTACGCCCCACGGGAATCCTTAGGTCGCTGGTTCGATTCCGGCTCGAAGGAGACGCTTACTTTTTTTTCCTGCCTTCTATGCAAAGTACTTTTTAACAATTGTCTTTTTAGCTTTTTGCAGATACGGTTGCTTTTCTAGAATAGTTCCAGCCGCATTGCAAACCGAGCCTGTGTGCTGTGTCTCACTCTCAGGAGCGACTGTTCCTGCAGGAACAGAGAATGCTGGGCTTAATGCAGGACTGCCAACACCTCCTCAATTTCTAAAGGAAAACGAGATGTGTGTTCATACTCCAGCGTGCCACAAAGCAAGTCAGTGCAGGAGGATACCGGCTGAGATCCCTTTGTCTCATCGCAGTTAATTAGGACGTTGAAATTCTGAGGGTCATTTTTCCAAGTCTCCTCTCTTCCAAATGTCTAGACACTTTTTACAGCAGAAGGCTGTATCTGTACATACTGCCACAAAAGGAATATATTTTCTTATCCAGACAACTTAAGTGTTCAAGTCCGGGCTGGACAGGACACATCCCTGCCCACTGCTGGGGCTTAGAACTGAATGATATTTAAGGTCCCTTCCTACCCAACTCATACTAAGATTAGCATACATTGACTCTGTCCCGTAATTGAAAATTGTGTGTCCTTACTGGGGTCTATCTATTACAGGTCTCAGCTACCACACAGTTGTCCTGTCTTACTGGCTTCCCAACCCCTGGGGCGGATGAAACTGGCACTAAGGACTGAGTCCTCTTGTACAAAACTCTGTACCCATTCATCTCTCAAAGTGAAAGGAGAAGCCAGATGTGATGAATGAGCTGACTTCAGTTTGTGGCGAGCAGAAAGGGGGTTATGATCATCTGTAGTCCTTCTCCCTGGTTTGTCACAGCACACTCTTTTCTCTTCTACGGGAAATGATAACATAGAAAAGAAAAAAATCAATAATTTTAACTGTGTTCAGTTTAGCATTCTTCTTCAATTCTTTTTAATGATTTTTTTCTATAAAGAGGCAGAGATTAAATTCTTTTTGACTGAAATCGTATCGGTATCCATTCTTATACCAGGTTGGCAAGCAAATTAAGTGACATACAATTATGTTTGGAGTTTTTTGTATTAAGCATTGTGGCTTATACCACAAACTTGTTGTGGGAATTAAAAGTGCACAAACTACCTAAATTACTAGTTATATGGTGGTATACCTAATTTGTGTATGCTGCCTCTTCTGTTTGGTGTTTTGAGTTAATCTGGGTATGTGTTCATATCTAAGCACACAAAGGAACAGATCTTTGAGAATACATATGGCTAAAGCGGCTGCCCCTTGTCCATTTTTCAAATGCTTGGGCTTTTGTGGTCACAGAGACTGGATACCAACCTAGTGACAAGTATTCCTGTCTTGTAGCATGCCCAGATTATCTGGCACTCTGTGCTGGCTCTTGAACAGATGCAAAACCCCGGAGTGAGGTGCTGGATGTCTCAGGATGTCTGCTCTTGTCCTCAGCAGTGCCATGGTTCCACTCTCTGCACACACCTTTTGCCGGGGGAAATTGTTCCATATAGACGCTGATTCCAGGGAAACTACCGTGTTACATCACTTCGTCACACTGATGATTTCTTTTACAAGCATTCTGCATTAAATAAAGGAATTAAAATGTGAGGCCATGGCTCTGGTTGCTTTGCATGGGCAGGCATATCTGCTGCAATCCAAGAGCTAGTTCCTCTTCGGGGAAACCCTGAGTTGCCATTTGACACTTGCCAGGGAGCAAAGGCATAACCTGGGCCAGCTGTCTTAACGGCTTCTCTAGCTGTTACTGGAATGAAGTTGTTGATAGTGTGGCAAGGTAAAGGGAATGCTACAATTCATACATACAACCTTTATTAGTCAGAGTGATAGCCAAGGTAGATTTGTATACATGAAAGTTTAAATATAAATAAACGTAGCAAAACAGAGAAAAAATTGAGACTCTGTACATTTTGAGAAAATCTTTGGGTTTGCAACTGAACTGTACACAAAAGCAGATAATGTTAGTATGTGTTCATGTTAGAAACTTTTCTGAAAAGCAAACAAAGGAATAAAATCACATTGAAGAGCTAAATCCTGAAATCCTTTTGTCATTCTATCTCCACATGTCCTCAGAATATCTGATCTTCACATCAATGAGAGACACAAATGCTCTGGTATTTAAAAACTAAGTTGCCCATTTGAAATTAAACCATGACTTCAGACACTCTTTAAGATGCAAGTACTGGACAACCCCCTCAGAGGCTTGGTCACTGGTTTGTTCTGACATTTTTTTGCTAACTGACATGCTAACTAATGTGTTGTGGCTCTTCTGTACAGAACCCTGTGTCTATCAAACATGTAGCAGCTTGTCTATCTTTGCTTCACACTGTAAGATCAAGTCATAAATCTTTCCCATGAAAAAGCTCTCATTTAGAAAGTGTAAATAAGAACCACACGACTTGCAGTACCTCTCAAGCCCATGGAGAAAATTTCCTTAATTTTGGTGAACTTTGGCTCTGGCCCTGTAGACCCATCAGAACTGTTGCATGTGAAAGAATTTCCCAATTGCTTTTGCTATTATTGGATTTACTTCTTCCTCCCTGGCTTTAAGCCTGCTCTGTAGCTATTGTTGAAATCAAGGGTACAATTCCCAGTAACTTCCGTGGAAAAAGGAGGATGGATTTCACATGGGAAAGGATTCCATGTATAATACATAGCTTTACACCAGACTTTTCTCCCAGTGCCTCTTTCAGCTCTCTGCTGGAAATAGTCTCTAGGTAACATTTAGACATTTTCACACTAAATTTCTCCACCAGACAGTGAAACTTAAGAAATTACTTCACCTGCAGATTTGTTATGTACTATGTGCTCTCCCTACTCCTTCACTTAGGATAATATCCTACACCAGAACAAACACTCTGAAAAGGGGAATAGTGAAGAAAGGCAAAAGAAAGTCAAAAGAGGAGTGTGTGTGCTGGTGTCCACAGCACATACGCAGTCTCTGGGCTCTGCCCCTCTGACAGCACCCCAGCACTGTCTGATCCATCCCCCTGATGGGAAGATGTGCAGCACTTGGCTTCCACTGGAAAGACATGCCTTTGGGGTCATGTCTTCTCAGTGCCAGTCTCTTTTTCCTGGCACCACTGGGTTGGATGGGCACATCCTCAGTGGCAGGTAAGAAGGCAGTCTGGAATTATGTACATACACATGGTTTCCAAATTCATTGCAACCGAGGACAAAGAGAAGCCTGTGAGTAGGAGCGAAACAAGTGCCTGTGCACAACTCCAGCCATGCCAGTGTCTTCCCTCTTTTCTGAAGCAGAAAACCAGGGCCATTTCTGAGGGCAATGTCATGGCCTTCCCCTGTGCCTGCATCCAGAGAACAGATATGTAACTTGAACAGGAAGTAATGGTCTTGAAAATATGCTTGTGTTATGGGACTTTTAAAGAAACATTGAAAGTAGTATGTCTTGACTTTGGTGTTACAGCTGGTTCTATAAAACACATTATTTTCCCAATACATTTAGCTGAATGACATTTGATGTCAAAGGTGAGAATAGAAGGTAGATAACAATGTTTTACAACTGTGGGATCCAATTTTAAGCAAGGGAACAACATTTTCATCTAGTTATATATTCACAAGTCTGTATAATTTAGTGGAACATTGTCACCCCCTTTAGACCAGAGCATGCAAAAATAGCCAATACACAGAACTGACAATGATTGATGTAAAATTATCAATAAGGAGAAATTCAGCTGCCTCAGGCTTAAACTACTATGTCAAATCAGTGAGGTGCTAAGATTAAGATCTAAGAGGTATTCCATTTCCTCTTACAAATTAGTGGCCTAAGTTCTTCATGCTTCCTTCAGCCATACCCACATGTATCTCCACTGATTTGTGCAGTGGTATATGTGAACATACACCTCATTACTGCCTCTTTATTTAAAATCATGCCATGTGCTCTTAAAGCTCCTGTGCGTGTCAGGAGGTTTCAGTCTTACCCCAATGAGCTGGTGAGGAGGACCATCACTCCTTTGCTGCTTGCTTTCCCTGCCAAGTCCTTGCTGCTCCCACAGCCCCAGCGCCTGTGCCGGTGCGCTGGCTCCCAGCCCAGCGCCAGCAGGGCAGCAGGGCCACAAGCCAAGGGCATGGTGGGATAAGCCAGCTGGCAGAAAGCTGTTGGCTGGGAACCAAAAGGAGGAGCTCTGCCACAGGCCTGTAGGAGGAGGAGACTCTGGGACACCCCAGGGTTTGTAGCTTTTGCTGGGGAAGACAGAGAGCCTATATGTGCTTCTGCACAAGGCTCCTGGATTTGGAGTGACTTGCACTGTAACAGCCATCAGAAAAATCTCTCTTTGTCTTGGCTCAGGATTTATAATTGCCAGAGCTGGGTCCCAGCAAGCCACTAGCTGTCCTCCAAAGAGCATGTCTTCTCTGGGAAGGACAGCCTCATCTGTCTTGCTAACAACTTTCTCCCAGAGACCTGCTAAAGAGCACTTCTGGGGCTTCCTCACAGGAATCTTTCACATCCAGCAAAACTGTTGCATGCAGGAAAAGTTCCTGGGGCAGGGAGAGACAGCCAGTGTGTCCATAAAGAGACTCAAGACTGTGTCTGGGAGGTGAAACTACAGATGCAGGCAGGGAGAGGACCAGCTATCCCAAAGTGAGCATTATTAGAGGGAAAGACAATTTGAAGCTGCGAGAGACCTGCATGCTCTGTACAGGCAGTGCAGGTATCAACCTATTGGAAGTAGCATAGAGTGAGATTCTGCTTTGGTAGGAAATTACTCTCAGGTTACTCTAAAGACAGCTATGAACACAGGCTGCAGAACTTATCACATGTTTTTCTCACTGTGAGACTCAGTGAGAAGCCCCAGCAGGTCCCTCGCCTGCCTAGGACTCTGTGTGATAGCTCCGATAGTTGTCCCCAATCAGTTGTGTCTTCTCAGTGATGTTAGTTGGCTGAAGCATAATAGGAGTTTCTCCATCTAAATTGGAAAGAACAACAAAGATTACTTTAAGAACTCTTCACTTGCTACCAAAGTCAGATTTCTTGTTAGCACCACAACATTTCATTTGCTGCTCTGGTTACAGCTTAATGTGGTTTCGCAGACAGGTGTGTGGGTACCAACAAGGTGACATTGCCCACACCAAGCCTACAAATGCTCTACTCCTAGTTCTCATACAATGGAAGATTTCTGGGTGTTGCTGCTGCTGTTAGACTGTACATTTGCTGTGCCTGGTGCTTTACAGGCTAAAGGTTCCTGCCTGTTATAATAGCAAGTGCTTGTTCCTGCAAATGGCTGAATATAATCAGTGCTGTTGTGAGTCAGCAAGCACTAACCTTGACAGTGTTTGTGAGAAAGGGACAGCAATGAGTTTTGAAGAAGTCAGAGATAACAGTAAAGAGGAGAGTTAAATGGAAAAAAATGCATGAGCAGTAATAGTAATGCACTTGAGATGAGAGAAATCATTATATCCTGAAAGCCAGCTAGTTAAATAAAAATGTTAAATTGAATTTGAAGTCTTATGCAATGTATATGCAATAGGACTCTGGGAATTAATTTGGAACTACCAAGACTTCATATTATCACGATATAAATTCTTACTGCTGTGTACTTTCTCACTCTGTGCAATTTTGTGTTTGCTTTTCCAATATATCTATAAAAAATGCATTTGTAGTAGAGTGGAGGAAAGTAGAAGTGAAGTATTTACAGAGTTCCTTGATGGCTACTGTGCTCCATCTGATAAAGAACAAGGTTTGGTTGCCCTTCTCCTGGGCCTCTTTCCAACTGGCATATTTTTTGGAGGGAGGGAAGTACTCAAGTCTCAGAGACTGACTTTTACAAGTTCAGCCATCTTAGTGAAGTGTTTCCTATGAAAAACTTTGGACTGTCTATATCTTGATACTAACAGAGTCTTCACAGTAATTGAATACAAACTATGACTTTTTTTTTTTTGCCAAATGACCAAATGTTCAGGGAAAAAATCTCATCTGACATTTCCTTCTATTTACATGACAGTTGATGGGATGAATCATGGGCAAAAGATGTAATGTACAGGAGTAACTTAACCCAGAGCAGGAATCTAATTGCATGCCATACGGCTTCCACTCAGTGGGGGTAGAACAACTTTGACTCTGTCAAGGTGAAAGGCAAGAATGATTAAATACCAAGCAGCTTCTCTATATGGGCAATTCCATATTTAGACACAAGGTCAAAAACAGACGTGTTTCATAACTTCTAAAAGTATATGAGTAATTAATGCTTTGAGCTCAGCTCAGGCTCATATTAGTTAGGCAGTTCCAATCCATTTTTAAGTTGCTATGTGTTTTCTAGATTTCTGAGCAGCATTCCCTCCCACCCACTTCTGCCTCCAAGTTGTTCATTTTCTGAAAGATTGTTGATGGAGGGCAGAGATTAGCAGTTCATTTTGCTGTGATACCCAGGTGTGCAACAGGAGAGCAGGACCCACTGCAAATCTGTCGTGTTGCCTCCAGCTTGTCTGCAGACAGCTCTTAGCTGACACCCTCACCAAGCATTTTGCTGCTTGTACCCTTCTAAGATTTATTATAGGGTTTTTTAGCAGAACAGGGACCCATGGCATAATAAACTGTACAAATATAGTCTGCTAATGGCAAGCTGCAGAATTGAGGTGAGGCAGAATTCACAGTTTAAACTGCTTTCTATAGATAGCTCCTGCTCACTGTTCGCCTACAGTTGTATCATATGGAGTGTGGAGGAGACAATGAAGTTATAAAAACTTATTGCTTCTGAGTTAGAAAAGTATTTTTCTACTCAGGTTCTTTTATTCTTTTTCTTTTTTTCTCTCCCAGAATTCATTTTCTGTAAAATAAAAGTTGGTCTAGAAATGCCTTGCTTTGTTCTTAAAATGATGACCGAACAGGAGAGAACAGACCTGCCAAACTGCTTTGAGTGCATCATTACAGCCTGAAGTACAAAGGCAATCCAAATTCCAATGCCACCTCCTCCAGGAACACGAAAGTTAACAAAAATTTTGCCATCAACTTCAGTGGAAGTAAAATCTGTCAACCTGCCCCATGTGCGTGGGAAAGTGATGAAGTGTTGCACGTGTCTGTGATGCAGACAAGCAAGTGATACTTCCCTCTGCCAGTGCATTTTGATAGGTTACCTGTAACATCATGGCATCATACTGCAGTTACCTTATTTTGCACCTTTCTAATGTCATGTTTGATCTGAAACACTAAAAAATGTCATCTTTAAAATGTAATAGCCCAAACATAACATTTAATTTTTGGTCGTCTGCTCTATATTAGGTCAGAGTCTTCTGGTACAAATCAATAGTTATGAGGAGAAATCCTTGTAAGTTAAATTTGTGCCAGGGCTTGCAAACCCCTAGTTTCCTTTAGTTCTGATGGTCATCTTACCCTTGGAAGTACATGCTGTAAAATGAGGCTCTCAAGGGAGACAGACATTGAACTAACTGAGCACTAGAACTAGTGACATTTATTTAACCAAAACCTTCTTCTAGAGGATTATAATTCCCCTAGAAATTATCTTTTTCTCAAGAAATAACAAATCAACAGAATTGAAACCTTTGGCATGATTGTGTTCATTTCTCTGACAACTCAGTTTGCTCTTACATTTTAGGGAATGGATCACTAAATCTTTGGCCTCACACCTCTTTCTTTTTCACTAATAATTATGTTTTATGATATTTTAGTCTAAGGAATGAAATCAACTGTGTAAAACCTTAATTTTGTTAATGAAAAATGTGAAGAACTGAAAAATTATTATAGTTGTGTCAGTTCGATAGTTGAGGTCTAAATCTCAACTCTTTTGGGTGGTACGGCCAGCAGCAGGCAGCTCCCACTGAGCACTACTGCCAAGGGCTCAGTCTCAGAGGTTTGTAGCATCAGGAATTGTGATACTTTATCAATGATGCATTCCTCAGAAATATTGACCGATTAAAAAATATTTGGATAGTTTTTAGTGTGGCCTTAGCTTGAAAAATCTAAATTTTGACCTCAGTGAGAAGTTCTGGTTAGCAATACTGTAGATGCTGGGGACAGCAGGAAGCAAAGAAATTAATTACTGGCTGGAATGCTCAGTCTGTGCTCAGAGGGCATGCAAAGAACTTGGATCCTAATAGAATCTCCTCTTCCAAAATTAAATCTGCTGCACAAGTGATTCAGAATTACACCGTTTGTTTCTGAATTACATACAGGAGCATTTCTATAATTTACCTAAAAGAAGGCATGAGTATTAATTTCTATGGCTCAACATTCAAAAATGCACAGTCTTTGCTATTCTAAAAGTCAGCTGTGTCTTTCTGGCCAGCATGCCTGAAGTTGGGGTGACAAGGGAAGAAGGAAGGGAGGAATCACACTTTGATCTGGTTGTCTTTCCCTTTTTTTTTTTTCCTAAATGCATTGTCTGTTTTCCTTTCAGCTGCAGAAAAGATGCTCATGTTACTCTTTGTCATAAAGCTTTTATTTTTATTCTTTATATGTTACTCTCTTTCAAAATACAGAGAATTCTGCTTTACTGAGACTTGCTGGTTTTGATTAGGAGGAAAATATAGCAAGACTGAAGAGGAGAGTGGGAAAGGTATAAAGATCTAGTTTTCTTCAGACCCTACCTATGTATTTAATATTGTCTTCCAAATACTTAAAGCATGGAATTACATATTATGTTAATTTTTCTGAGTGGCACTTTGCTAAGCATTTAAAATTATCTTTTAAAAGTGGTCTCAGTGGGACTTGGTGGGAGTAAAGGGATGTAAAAGGGGGCCTAAAATTAAAGAATACCAATACCTTCTGGTACCTGTGCCAGAAGGAAAGAGCAATTATTTTTCTGCCAGTGAGGAATTTTGTTTTGGATTTTGAGGGAGAATTAAAATAAATATAAACCAAATTAAAAATAAACAGATGAAGAAAATGGGTAGAAATTAAACATTGTGATTCTTCAAAGTTTTGTCCTTCTACTTTAGACTTGGCTTTGGTATCATGGACTCATGAAGAGCAAGACCCATTTTAGATTTGCACTTTTTAGGTGCCTAATGTTGTAGAGTTTATTAGATTTGTCTCAGATAAGGTATTGTGGTTATGAAGTTTTCACTAGTAGCTTTTATTGTCTTTGCAGAGACTGATTAAATATGATCAAATTTTAAGCTGACTGTTTACCTTGATATGCCTCTAGGCAAAGTCAGTTTAAAAATGCCACCACACATTGGTGTAACAGTTATAAAAATAGCATTTGTTTCAACTACTACAAGTGTTTTGTTACATATTTATGGAAGGGTAAATTTGTGTGAAAAGTTGGGGGGGAAAAAATTCTTACTGCTAAGGGAACATGACATTTGCAATCTGGCACTGCTATTTTAAGCACAATAAACATAAGAATATAACAGTATAAAATGATCCATAACAATGGAAGAGAAAAGAGTGAGCTGACTTTTTAGGTCCTTCCTCATAAAAAAGCCCTGTAATCTTAAACATAGTTTATATAAATTTGCAACTGAAAAGTGTCCTCAGTCCTTCCCTGGTACCTTGGGTTCTTATTGCTGGAGCAAGGGTCACTGCATCTCTCACCCTGTACATATCTATCCAGTTTGAGATGTTTCTACTTCCCCTGAATATAAAAGCAAAACGCCCCTCTTCAGCACACTAGGACAGGACTCTGTTCAGAGCATGCATCCCATTATCCCACATGTATCACAAGTGCCAAATTAGGAAATCACCTCCATCATCCCTCGGCATAGCTAAAACCTGAACATGCAGCTGGGGGAATGCAGCAAAGCCAAAAAAAGAGGCTGACCTGCTGTGAAGGTCATTCTGCTGCCACAGGCCCATGTTCCTGGCTCCTAAGTTCCCTGCTCCTCTTGCCCCTAAGTTAGAACTTGCCTGCTCCACCATGAAGCACACCAGACAATTAAATGGGCCAGGAACTACAGACATTTTTGAGAGGATTGGTTTACACATGGATTTTATCCAAGGCTTGAGTAAGGTAGAATTGCTACTGCAGAAGAGAGTGAGAAGCTTGGGAGATGGATGGGAGAGGGACAGAACCATGGTAGCTCCCATGCATACTCTCCTGTGTTACTGCACAACCTTACTGTTGGAAACTTGGCATCTTTTCTTGAAGCTTTCTTTTGAATGGGTACAATTTTCACCACAGGCAGGGAAAAGTTTTATAGAACTAAAGTATGAATGACAGCTTATTCAGGCCAATCAGATGTGACAGGCACCAGTCCAGCAGAGCCTAATGTATGAGTATAGGATCTAGGATATGAAGGAATGTGGGCATGGGGGCTACAGGGTGGACACTGTCCCTTAAAATGAGTCCTAAGAATTTTATTGTGTGTCTCATAAGAGATATAGGAGATGTTTAGTTTTAAGTGCCCTAAGTTTGGTTTTGCATTAATACATAATTTGGGAAGTTCACTGGGTTGTGGTCTTAGCTAGAGCGACTTGGCATGTCTCCACCGAAGTCTGGAAGCATCCTCAGCATTGTGAGCAGAACATCTGGACTACAGGCTTTAAAGATTGTTTAGAACAGCTTTGCCCCTACAATACACACCTCTTTCCATGTCGTTCTTAATTTGCTCTTCCAAATCTTCTGGAGACACAAAAAACTCCTGCTGTTCCCCCTCGGGTGCCTTTGGTTTACACTTTCCACAGCAGCAGTTGAAGCAGCAGCAGAGGCAGCAGCAGAGGTAGCAGCCAGTCAGCAAACCACAGACTGCAAACAGGCCCTGGGTTAAACACAGCAGGATGAAAATCCTGTCAGCAGTGACCTTCCCCAAACTTGTGGCTGTCTCTTACAGCTGGAGGCAGAATGACAGAGGAGCTCTGGTTCCTAAGTGCTTGGCACTCAGAGGAGTGCACCTGCTGTCCCAGTGCCTGAATGAGGGCCAGATGTTCCAAAGCCCTCCTCACCCACCAGCTATTTGTCACTAAGGACCAAATCCACAAAGAAGACACCAACCAACAGGCTCCCACATGCTCAACATTTGAAAATTTGTTGTTCTGCTGATGGCCCTCAGAAAAACGCTCCAGGCAGTATGCAAAACCCCACCCACCTTAACATGACTCATTTCCATCTTTAAAATGACTCATTTGCCCAAGATCATTTTTGAAAACACTTATTTACTGGCAAACTCTTGTCAATAACAAAACTGAGAGAAAAAGAAGCAAAGACCCAGATGCAGCCCACATAATTTTGGGCACTGAAATAAGGCATCCAGTTTAGGACTGGATCTGGCTGCTATGGACTCCCCACACAGTCAAAGAGAAGTTAAAAGCCCTTCCAGGGAGAGATTCAGCCATAAGAGTATTTGAATTGCCCATTGTGGGTGTCTCTCTCTCTCCCCATTAGCCTGTGCAGGACCACACAGGTGACATCTCCTAAATTATAATCCTCAGACTATGGTTTCTCAATCTGAGGATTCAGATAGCAAGATGTTCCTACCTTTGATCACTCTTGTCCCCATGGCACAAAGCATAGAGGATTCAAGAGAGCCAACACAATTGTCTGGGGCCAAGACCAGACTCTTAGTAAGAGTCAACAGCCAGAAAATTTAAATTTACAGAGCTTTCTTCCTTCAGATGAAGTCAGTGCCTGGGTTCACAGCACAGCTCCCCAGGTGTTCAAGTGTGTGCTGCATCACAGCAATGGCCTGTAGGAGGGGAGCCTTTAGGCTGGCATTGCCAGTCTGTGCTCCATGGGGATGTGACAGCAGCCTGGCTCCTGACCCAAGGTACATCCAGGACTACATGGAGATGTTTGTGACACAGAAGAAATCTCCATGGACATCTCTTCATGGACATAATGGTATAAGAGCAAAGGAAAACCAGTGACATTCCTGGAAAGCAAATCAAAACTGATATGTAGAAATAAATTGAAAGAGGGTGGATTTAGATTAGTTATTAGGAAGTAATTTTTCATTGTGAGGGTGGTGAGGCACTGGAACAGGTTGTCATGAGAAGTTATGAGTGCCCCATCACTGGAGGTGTTGAAGACCACGTTGAATCCATCTCTGAGCAAGCTGGTCTAGTGGGAAGTCTCTCTGCACATGGCAGGGGACTGTAACTGGATGATCTTTAAGGTCCCTTCCAAACCAAACCCTTCTATGATTCTCTGAATGTGTGGGTAAAAGCAACACAGCTTTGTGGCTACCATATATATTTAGATTGGAGGTACAGCCAGGCTTTAGCATTATAGTTATCCAGTCTGCCCTTTGCTAAGTATTTATGTTCCTAAGACAATATGCTGCTTGGGGAAGAAAGTAAGCACAAATGTTAGGATATTGTCAAACTTAGACAATGGAGCTATGCAGATAATATTATATATGCATGTTTGAGCTAACATTACTGGGGGCTGGCTGGAGCATCTTTGAAGGTAATAAGATTATTTATATGCCTAATATTAATATAAGCATGTATCTAGAGTGAGCAAGGTGCTTTTAAATGAAAATGACTCCGACTTTTTGTCATAAAATGCTTTCCTTCTAATGGACACCTGAAATGGTGCCATAATTCCCAAAATAAGTTTTCTGACTATCTATCATTTATGCCATAATGGAGAATATATCACCACCACAATGTATAGAATGAAAAAAAAAAACCCAGAATGAATGTGTGTAGAGGGGAAAACACATTGAGATTATCCATGATATCTTTAATGTTTCAACATTTCTTGTGCTTATACTATCATAGTTGTTAAATCAAACATCAGTTTATTGATGTTATCATAAAATAAAACTGTCTTCATGGTAGAGGGTGAATTGGTTTTTGCTAAAACAGTTAGACAAACAACCTCTATGCCTGCCGGTGGAGAAGCAATTTGAGTTCCCATTACCCATGTCTTTATATTCCCGGTTTAGTATGCCTGCTAAAAAGTCTAGCACTCTGAAAAAGAGCAGTAATTTTCATTTTTCATTTCTTCTTTCATTCGAGTTTACTTACTGCTAATGATAAAACTCCTCACAACTGTCAGGTTTTCCCAGTATGAGTGTGCTGGGAAGGGGAATGTTTGCAGTCAGTGAGGAAGATAACAAGCCAAGGCAGTGGTCCTTACTGTCCTCCACAAGAATGGAGAAAATCAGGAGTCCAGAGGTCATCTGCAGATGATGCCTCAGACTCAAATAGTATTATGATGACCAATATAAAAATTTCAAATTGATCCAGCATTTGTGCTTGAGTTAAAAACAAATGAGAAATAGTGAGAGCTCATCTTGCAAAAAAATCAACCAAACAAATTAACAAAACCACTTGGTGGCCTCTTTATACTTTGGGGTTACCAGGATTTTAGGTTGGGGGAGACATAGAGAGACCACCTGTGATAGTCCTCAAATTACTTTATATACATATTTTGTATTTTTTTATACAAAATTCCTGAAAACCAGGAAGTGATTACTTTGCTCTTCAGCATGTCTTGTCTCACCTCTGGGATACAGCTTGCTTGAAGCAATCCTTACATTTCTCCTTTAGTTGTCAGGGACTTATGAGCCCGTCTCTGTACTCCCCACTGCTCTCCTTATGAGTCAAAGCCACAGTGGTTATTTCTGTACCTGATTTTATGACCCCAGAAGATTTCATACTCCATAAAATCTCCATTAAAAATCACCAAATAAAAGAAAAATAGAATTAAAAATAAAATAAAACTGTGAAGAAATTTTTTTTTGCCATAACTGTTAAAGAGTCCACACTGTTTCCCTTGCAGTGCTGAGGCTACCTAACTGTGACAAAGAGGCAGAAGGAGAGGGTGGACAGCAAAGATAAGGGGGAATGATCCATCAGGAGATGACAGCAGCTATGGTGGGGTGCCCAGCCTGCAGCAGGAGGCAGCTACAGCAGCTGCAAGCAGGCAGCCTCCAACCAGCCTCTGAGGGGCAGCACCTTCACAAGTTTAATTTAAAACCCAGTACTTTATTCATTGATTTCATGCAGCGCTCTGCATTTGAGCAGCTTCTGCCTCATCCTGATTCAGAAGTCAAATTATGGCTTCTAAGACCACTTCTAAAGTGCTGAAGTGACTTCCCAGCTTAAAAGGGGAATGTGGAGCAATGCAGCACTGGCCTGTTCCTTGCTGAACACAAAATTTTATGTTCCATGGTTCTCAGATAAAAACTGTCATCACATGCTTGCTTCAAACAGTAAAGATCATCTTCCTATGTATTCTGTCCCAGTCCAGCAGAGTGCTTTTTCTGTGCTGCTGTGGCTGAAAGCAGGTGGGATGGAAAGTGCATGGATTTTGCACATTTGCAATTCTGTTTTTTGCATATCTGTAACATTTCAGCATTTTCAGAAACACTTGAATTTGATATATGAAGACATCAGAGGACACCAAATGTGATAAGGGAACAAACAAACCCAACTCCTTCATGACTTGAAGAGCCCATTATGTGTTTTTTTTCTTGAACAATATGCAGGGGTTTGGTGTATTCTCTTCCTGTCCTACTTTCTTGCTCCATTCCACTCTTCTAACCTTTTCTTTGAGTTCCTTTCTCTCACTTCATCACCAGGGCACATATATAATGCCATAATCACAATGTTATGTATTATTATTGCTTACTTAGGTTGTGTGCTATATATAGCAAAAAAGACAGCTAAATTTGTACTGCAATAATTTATTAATTGGTTGTCACATAAATGGGACTTCTTGTGTTTGAATAATGAGTCATTCTTATTTAGTCATTACAGAAAAGAAAGTCAAAATTAACCTGGAGCACTAGATTCAAATCCAATTAATGTCTGAAAGTGTTACAAAACATGTACCATAATTATATACCAGCTTAAAAAAAAAGAGAAATTTTTCTATATTAGTGCTAGTCTGAGCTTACATTACATTCTGCCACTGTCGATTTTCCAGATAATGTTGTTTTATTAAGTTTTGTGTTTAGAGTTAGATCATACTATTTCTTAAGCCTGTAGAGAGATCGTGTTTTTCAGGGGGTTCCTTGTGTATGTAATTGTCAGTGTGCATTGTAATTTGATTTCCAAAAGAGAATAACAGCTTACCTTTGCCCACCAGCTTGAGAGCATGAAGTAGGTGTTAACATTTTCCTCACCAAACTGTTCTGCCACATAGAGCCCTAAGGATCCATACTTGTCATATATATTTCGCTTGGACAGATCAGTCAGGGTTGCATGAGCATTGTTGATCTCTTTAAATTTTTCTGCGGCCTCTGGATTGTCTGGATTCTTGTCAGGATGATATTTCAGAGCCATTTTTCTTAAATATGAGACAAACAAAAAAACAAACAAAAAAACAAACAAAGGGAAAGTAAGTCATCTGTATATGTGCATGTACACAGATACAAAACACTGCAAAAAGTATTTTCATAGAGTTATAATAATTCTAACTGTGTGTTCAGCCTTTTTTCCAGCTCTTATGTATTCAGTGGAGGAAAAATGACACAAAGGAACCAAACATGAAAGTTTTGATGAAAGAGGTGTGCCTATTACACTGAGAATGAACTTTGTGTATTGATACCTAGTCAGCTACTGTGTTAAAGTAGACAGTGATATATGATGAAAACACAGATTGCAACATGATAGTAAATCACAGGCATTTGTTGCATTATGATTGCCAACTCATTTGCATAATTTAGCAGGTTTTAGCAAAGATAAATATTTTTTAAAGGTTGTTTAAAAACATTATGATCACACTGCTTTTCCAGGCAACATTATTTTCTTAATAGCAAAGGAAATTTTATGTTCAATTGCCTATCAATAGTAGCTATATTAAAATGTTGTAAAAAGTGTCTGTGTTTGCAGATGCCCAGACAGCAATGATGGAGAGCACAGTTAGGAACTGCAATAGAAGGGAAGCATCTTTTTGAAGCACAAGGTGGAAAAGCATAGTGAGTTAGTCCCAGTTTCAACTGCCTGTCTTTTGACCTAGTTCTCCACTGTTGCACTCCTGAGACAATCCTTAAAGCACTAAAAGAGGATTATCATAGAATCATCATAGGAACTATCACAGAATGGTTATTTTCACAGGATCATGGAGTGGTTGGTGTTGGAAGGAACCTTAAAGATAATCTAGGTCTGTCCCCCCACTGTGGATATGGACAGCTTCCATTAGACCAGGATGTTCAAAGCCCTGTCCAGCTTGGCCTTGAAGACTTCCAAAGATGGAGGTAAACAACTTTCCTGAGCAACCTCATGACCCTTACAGTAAAGAATTTCTTCCTAATATCTAATCTAAACATACTTGTTTTTAGTTTAAAGCCATTGCCCCTTGTCCCATCACTTCACGCCCTGGTAAGAAGTTCCTTTCCAGCTCTCTTGCAGGACTGCTTAAGGTACTGGAAGGTGCTCTTAAGGTCTCCCTGGAGCCTTTTCTTGTCCAGGCCAAACAACACCAATTCTTTCAGCCTGTCTCCGTCTCTCTGATAATCCTCATGTCCTTTCTCTGGACTTGCTCCAACATGTCAACGTCCTTCTTATTTTGGGGTGTCCAGAACTAAATGCAGTAATCCCTGTGTGGTGTGAGAGTGGAGTAGTGTCAACTAGTTTGGGCTGCTTATATCATTGGAAGCCTTTACTAGGTCAAGGTTTGGCAGTGCTTTTTGCCCCTGACCATACTCAGCACTATGGCATTTGAGGAGAGGTGCAGCTTGAAAAGTGCAGTGTGTGACTCTTGGCTCACAGCACTGGGGAAGCACAGCATCGAGAAGAAGGGGTTTGCTTCCAACCATCGTGAAGCACTGGTAGTGTAAACTGACACACACTTGCAAAACAAGCATAGACAGAAGTATGTATGTTCAAAAATCACCACTCCTGTAAAGAACTTGTGAAGTCCCCAGGACATTTATTTAATGACTAGTGCTGACCTCTAGTGGCATCAAAAGTGACTTAGTTGTGTTTTAAGCTGATTCAATTACAGCCAAGCTACGTTTCTTTTTGTAAATATTCTCTCAAAATATTTTGAGAGCTAGCCATAACTGCTATGACCAAAAATAATATTTGTGGTGTGAAGGCAGTGTATCTACACTTCCTCCAACAAATTTAACCACAGAGTAGAGTCCTACTTGATTTCCTTCTGAAGTCCAAGTATAGGTTACTCCTCCAGTAAAGAGTAACTGCTTTATTCCTGATGACAATTCCTGCCTGGAAGACATTCTGCCAATATCAAGACTGATATCAGCTTGGGAACAGCTTCTATCAACGATCTCTTCAATTCTGTTGCACTCAAGTCACAGAATCCTAAGTCATAAATAACTCCTTAAACATGTGTCTAATAGCATGAGTAAGTTCATGTTCAGTCATAGTTAATACACTGTGTATATTGTACCTTAAATACAAAGGTTTGGCCATGTTTAACATGTGCCCTAAACACAATAAAAAAATAAATATAAGAACTGAAAAAACAAGCTAAGTCTTTCATGACTAATGATATTATGTGTCATCCAAATATTTGAGTAAATTGTGAAATCTATCTCTTTTCTTACCTGAAAGCAAGCCCCAAAAATTTGGGGAAAAAAAAAAAAGGGAAAAAAAAAAAAGAAGTATTACTTTCAAAAACCCATGTATGTTTTCAGGCATCTGACAATCAACTTCCAGCCTTTCTTTCTTTTCCCAGAGACCCAAAGACATCTTCTGGCTTACCTACATCCCAAACAATATTATAAAAAGTAAGAATTTGAACAGAATGTCTTTTTAAAAAGATGAAACACATTAGTTTCACTCTCACTTTACCTAGTATTGTTTTAGACTACTAACAGGATTACTTCCAGCAATTAGCAAAAGATAATTTGTGTTCTTATTTTGATTTTTGGACAAATGTTCTCACTAAAAAAGTACATTAGCAAAACAACTCTCTGCACACTGAGATGGCATATAGTAACTGAAGATGATTTAGCAATGGGAGAAAGATCTAGATATAAGTGCAATTCATATGAGTGAGACAAAGGACTCTGTTAGGTCCAACCCAAGGAATAATAAAAGCAAGGACAAAAACTATGTGACATAACACAAAGTACTAGCTGTATGGTACTGTGGGAACCTGTGAGTCCCTGGAAAAGTGATATTTCCAATTATGGAATAGCTAGAGTTCATTATGACAAAAAAGAAGAAGACAAAATGTAGAGTGAAATGAACAAAGGAGTTTTTAGGCTACTTCCTATACCAAAACCATGGGTTTATGTCCATTCATACTTTTATCATGGTGAATGGCTTTCTCCTTCACTGTCATAGGATCACTGCCCACTGCAGACCTCTACAGCAGAAAGCAAAATTGAGAGAGAAAAGTGACAACAAACAGAAAACCAGCAATTCCACAAGATGGATGAGTGTGCCTTAGATGGGTAAGGAACTTATGGAAATAAAGTCAGTGAAATAAACTCAAGACCTCTGTCAGTGGGAGGTGCAGGCTCAAAAGTGAGATCAGGCCTGAATCTGACACAGGGATGGATCTGATGAGGGTGCTTTTGAATGAAGATAACAATATTTTGAAGCCAGAAAAATATACTCTATAGGGTCAGCTATGACAACATTATGAAGTATCAGAGTATGTGAGGATGGTATGCCCATGCTTCCTTCGATAGCTCAGCTGGTAGAGCGGAGGACTGTAGGCTCCCTTGCACGGCCATCCTTAGGTCGCTGGTTCAACTCCGGCTCGAAGGAGAGACCTTTTGGCTCTGGCACACATCCTGCCTTTTTCTGCTCCTGCCCAGGGGACTCCCCAGAATGAGCTGCCCAGTCATGAGCTCTTACCTAAGCTGTGGGAGATAATGAGCCAAGGCATTTTTTGCTGAACCCTTGGGCAGGGGATGGTGATTCTGACCATGGGTGTTGTCCGCAGTCACTTCTAGCAGGAAAGTGAGTGGGTGGGTTGGTATGAGAGTGATATGAATGGGAGGCCCAGGCTTTGGGTGCAGGGCATCCTGGGTCAGGGCTGGGTGCCTGGGAGGGGAGAGGACTTTGTGTAGGGTGGGGAATTAGCTCAAGTGGTAGAGCGCTCGCTTAGCATGTGAGAGGTAGCAGGATCGATGCCTGCATTCTCCAGTGCTTTTCATTTCCCTTGCCTGGATACAAGGCCCTTTGGTGAGTGTCCCCCTGCCCTCTGAAGGGTAAGAGACCTGGGAAGAAAGTAGAGGGCAGCATCCAGGATTTCTCCAAGAGCAAGGCCTCTGGATTGAGGGAAGGTATGTGACTTTTCTCTTCATTGGATAGATGCCAATTGGATAGATACCATTTAGAATTGTATACCTGTTATGTATAGGTTTATATAGGTTATTGGCTACAATATAATTAATTTTCTTCCTAATATCTATGTTTTGGATTCAGAGTGTGAATAATGTTGGTTACACACTGCTGTTATAGCTCTTGGTAAGCTGAGTTTCTGCAAAGCCAAGGATTTTTCAGCTTCCTGCACCATCTCATCAGCAAGGAGACTGTGGGAGACAAGAAACTGTGAGCAGAGACAGCTGGGACAGGTGACCCCAGCTGACCAAAGCAATGTTCCATACCACGTGACATCAGGCTCAGTATCCACTAGAGAGAAAGATGGCTGGGGGCCACTGCTTACAAATTGTTTGGGCATTGTTCTGCAAGTGTTGAGCAATTGTGCTGTATGTCACTTATTTTGTGTAATCTAATTCTGTTATTATTATTCATATTTCCCCCTTCCTTTTCTGTCCTTTTGGGCTGTCTTTTTCTCAATCCACAAATTTTGCTTTTTTTCCTCCCAGTTCTCTCCAAAAACCCTCTTGGAGGTGGGGTGTGTGAGCAGTTGTGCAGAGTTTAACTGCCTGCTAGGTTAAACCACAACAACCCTTTTTGGTGCCGAATATGGGGCTTCACGGGTTGCGATAATGACAAATCTGACTAGAGTATGTTATAACAAATTTCTTTTACACATTAATTATATTTATTTAATAGTAGCTAATCCTGATGTTGATTTATTTACTCTCAGAGTTGTTTTCTGTTCTCAGGGTTGGGTTATGTAACATATTACTTGCTCTGAATGTTTTTTGTTGTGCTGTTTATCACCTCTGGGGGCTGGGCTAAGGTTATTATGTTGAACTTTGTAACACTGGCTTATGATATGATTAAACTGATGGTCATAAGACTAATTTATTTGTAATCGAGTATTGCTATCTTCTCCATACTTCTAGAGCCATCTATTGGAAACTATTCCTAATTACATCCTTCATTTTTCCTCCTAGACCCAATCTGTGGGGCATACACTTCCCACAGCTTCCCCTTCTCCTCCAGGGTATTTAT